GTCATCTGGTACCAAGCTCTTCTTGACTATAATGCCATTACACCCAGTGTCTCTCAACATGGTCACAACTGTGTCACCAACCTTCCCTTGATCCACAGGCAAAGTCATGTCCTCCACAACGCCACTCCGTTCCATACATGCACCATTCACAACCTTTAACTGCTCCCCTGATGCTAACAACAAATGGTCCTTCTCAACCATTTTAGGCACATCACCGTTAATTTGAACAGCACAGCTAGCACTGATATTAGACTCCTCTTTAACCACTGCAGCTGCACCAGTAGTAGTGCTGGGTTTGACACTCTTTCTTTCTTGACCGCTGTGTTGTCCACTACGGCAGAACTTAGCCACATGTCCTATAGCACCACACTGAAGGCACTGTCCACCTTTGTCATGGTTGACACCAGTAACGCGGGATGGACATTGTACTGCTCGATGACCAATACCCTGACATACATAACACCGGATACTACTACCCTGTATTTCTAATGGCAGTCTTATTATCGTTACGCCTCACCTGGTCCTTTGTGGATATCATATGCGACAGCTATGATGTCATAATGACATACATTGGTATAAGTAATGTAGTTCACTCGTAATTTATGATACCAAATTTCGAACAATAACAGATAACATCGATTCACACTATGCGAATGACATTACCAAGAGTCGTTTACGACACACGATGCGTCTATGATAATATACTAGATACATTGCTATTTATACAATTTACGTGAATCTAGTAATATTTCTATTTATTCATTTACAGTCTGTAACAGTTACCTTGTATGGCTATTCCATTCTGATTCCACCATCTGCCATCACTGGAGTGTGAAAATTGTCGTTTTTACGCGTATCCATACTTGGACCAATGTTACGTCTCATCTTAGTGGGCTGTTGTTCATTAACATTCATTTTGATGCAGTTATTTGATTATTTAAAGGCTGGAAATTGATTGATTCATTTGATTTATCAGTCTCCAAATTTGTTGCAGGTTATTTATGTGGCCAGGAATCCCAAGGACGTTGCTGTGTCATTAAATTACCAAAGTAATGTTTTCCCGTTAATGCAATCGTATGAAACATTCCAAGCCTTCCTTGACGTCTTTATGAGAGGTCGGGGTAAGCCAACAATTCATATATCATGAGGAGTAATGTTCGATATTTATACATACTAAAAGCAAGTCCAAGAACCAAAACAAATAAGACGCCTAGAATTGTGTACTCAACATTATTAGCAATGTTTATGCGAATACGTTTTCAAATATATGGTTTCAAAAATACAACTGAAACGCAAATGGCAGACACTGTAACAAGTTTTTAATAATCGTTCGCAAACGTACGTGTATGTGTAAATTTGTGTTATAATTGATGTGAAACAGATAGGGCTCAGAAGAATTGCAACTACACATACAAAATTACGAAGTCAAGCTAAAAAAGTGATATGATAATAGTGATAGATTTTTATAATGTATTCACATATATTCATAACTACTATTGTGAATAGATGCCATACTGAGTAAATGGCCAGCACACGTTACTTACTGGTGGAAGAAAAAAGACGAGGACAATGTTTTGTTCTTAAAATATGAAGACATGAAAAAGGTAATGACAAGTTTGGTAATAGAACAAAATAAAGATATTACAGATTACGATTGATTTCGATTCAACATGAATACAGTCACTACCAAATAACACAAACAATAGACAACAAATATCAAAAATATCTACTGTCTATGACACAGCCTCACGTATTTAGTTCTTTTGTACAAATGGAGTCCAGTAACAAAAAAACACATTGAATCACAGAAAGCAGTCGATGCCATTGTACATCTCCATATGGACGGTACTGTAGCTAATAAATCCCCTTTGACATAAAAACAATTCAGGTGAAATGTTTGCATGGTTAGTTTATATTTCTTCCATGTTGTTTGTTTACTTAATAACGAATTTATAGTCAATGTAATGGTTTGAGGATATGATGTTTTAAAGACTAATAAAATAATCGTTTTTTTTATATTTTAACATGCACCATGCTTTTAACAATATTGTGTGAGATTACTTTACGAAATTTTAATAAACCAAAGAATATAATTCGATTATGATAGCAAACTTGATACCATCAATAAATGTATTGAAGTAAACGAATTCATTTCGTTCCATATGCATTTTACTAAATTCGTGCTGCACGTGCCAAATATCAGTTTATTGACTTAACTACTAATGGATTACAACTTGGTACATTCATACGTTTCGATGGTACGGGAGATATTCTCGCAGCTCTAGTTTATATATTATAACACTATTCTTAGCTATTTGTTTAACACTATGGTTTCTTTGTGTTTTCATTTTAGGACTTAGAGGGAACTGTCAGAATGGTATGCACCTTCCTTGGAAAGACACTGACAGCAGACGAAACGCAGCGAATTTCTGCAGATTGCACATTTGAGGAGATGAAAAAGCGCAAAGTGAAGGACTATGTCTGCCAATACTATGGAATTGATTCTATGATATCACCATTTGTGCGAAAGGGTAACTGTTTAAATTGTCTTTTCATCCTTTATGAACATCTAGTCAAATCATTCACTATTACTGACTTCGTCACCTGACCTAATTTTTAAAACACCCAACATAGCTTAACCATATCCAAATTTATTTTCATTCCAAAGGAACAAAGAACACATGACTGACTGACTGATCAAAGTATTTAGTAAAATTATTATTGGAATGATGTGTGATTCATTTGGTATACATAAATTGGTGTTAGGTGTTTTCATTCGAATGAGAATATCTTGTACCACAAATAATATATCCTGTATATAATATTTGATCAAATTATCAAATCCCTGACATTTGTTGTATCTAGGCAACAAACCCAAAAAAATCAGCAAATATATCGAAATATTCATTCAAATCACCATTCCACCATTCCCAGTAAGACAAATGTGACATGTGGATGATAATAATACACTTAATACAATTCATTTCAGGTAAAGTTGGTGGCTGGAAAAAACACTTTACTGTTGCTCAAAATGAAGAGTTTGATAAATGGTACTTTGAATCGCTTGAAGGGACTGGATTGTCATTTGAATTTTCTTGATTAGGACAGGGTGTGTTTTCAGATTACTGGTGATTTTAAAATGTGAGATGCACATAAAATGTAGTAGAATAAAACAATCAGTCTGTAATCTACCTGTTATATTTTATTGACGCTACTTTAAATATAAAAAAAAGTTTGTTCCATTGTATGAATACTACCTTCTAGTTCTTATGTTGTCGATAATACGAACCGAGTCGTAGTTTGTGGAAACTATGCATAAAGCGAGGTTTCTGCGGATGACATTTACGTATACATAATATCTACGTCGCAGATAGAAATTGCGCAAAACAAGCACCTATGTAATGTGGTGATAAACACAAATTATACTCACTGTTACGTCTACATGTTTTAAAAGCAGTTGCAATTAATATTGCGTACCAGTATTTAAAATAATATATTGTAGATACTGCTGTCTTGTTAATATTTATTCCAACTGACACAGATTATCGTGCTCCAAAGCAAATTGCTTCAAGTTAAACGTAGTGAATGTGGGCTATTGGTGCTAGAATACTTCCTGCGAGACATGGTACACCGTAATGGTACACTTTTTGGGGAGATAGTTATCCCCTGGCTGTCATGCTAACTGCGGGTACATTCCCTGATGTGTATATTTTATTGTTTAATTATCACATCTCACTGCTGTTACGTATGATGTGATTGGTTGAGACTTAGTCACATGATATTAAATAAAAATGGATATTACATGGTATTAAATGTGTATATAACATGGATGACGTCACTGAAACTACTGTGCATAACAAATTGTTGTTCGCTGCACTGGCCCGGACGATGTAGTTTTT